CTTTGTAGAGATGGAGTTTTGCTATGTTGCCCAGGTTGGTCTTGAACTCCTGGCTTCAAGCAATCCTCCCACCTCAGCTTCCCAAGGTGCTGGGATTACAGGCATAAGCCACCATGTCTGGCCCCCTGATCAGTTTCAATTGGCTTGGGCTATGGCACATTTTTCAGGGTCGGTGGCACATAACACACACACCGCTACATCCCTCTCCTGGACCTGTGGCAGGCATTACTACTTCATCACTATTCTCATTCCCACCAATGCAGAAATGGCATTAGAAATCACTATACAGTGCTTCCAGGGGGGCAGTTGGCCCATAAAGAGAAAGTTCATACACAGCACATGCACAGCCACACCCCCATCACATCCCCTGCAGACATCACTAATTGATCACTGATCTGTTTTCCACAGATTCCAGATAGGATTCCTGGATTTCTCCCGGATTCCTCCCCCTCCTGGATTCCTCCCCCTCACACTGCTCTGAGCTTTAAGTAGCAAAGCTTTGCTGGACCACCTATGCAGGCGCCATGCCACTCCTGCCCACTCACATAGATCTGGTCGAACTTCCCGAAGTCCATGGTCTTGAAGCAGTCGATGGGCGGGCGCAGGTACTCGCAGTAGGAGCTGGACTTGACAACCTCTAGCTGCCGCACGCAGGACACGTAGGCCAGGCGGGACTGGATTTCAGCCATGTCTGGAACCTTCACCTTGTCCGCCCAGGGATTCAGCCGCTTCCACAGCAGCCACCAGCCAGACAGGCTGTCCCCGTAGGTGCTGAGGTCCGTCTCATCCTGGCTCCCCACGTCGATGGCGATGACCGTTTTGGCACCCATGCTGCGGGCGATGTCCGCTGTGGGGTCAGAGGGGTCAGCAGGTTGCTCCTCTCAGGGGCAGGGGGCACAGATGTTCAACCCAGTCCCACAGACGCCATATACAAATGATCACGCAAAAAAAAAAAAAAAAAAAAAAAAAACCCACACATGAAAACAACATGCTGTCATGTACAGGGAATAGAAATGATGCAACTGAAGTTGAGGAGTGGGGTCAGGTGTGGGGAGGTTTTGTTTTATTTTTTGAGAGAGTCTCACTCTGTCGCCCAGGCTGGAGTGCAGTGTACAATCTGGGCTCAGTGCAACCTCCAACTCCTGGGTTCAAGCAACTCTCTTGCCTCAGCCTCCCGAGTAGCTGGGATTAGAGGCACACACCACTACACTCGGCTAATTTTTGTATTTTTAGTAGAAACCGGGTTTTCACCAAGTCGGCCAGGCTGGCCTTGAACCCCTGACCTCAAGTGATCCACCCGCCTCAGCCTCCCAAAGTGTGGGGATTGTGCCACTGTGCCCAGCTCAATAAAGCTTTATTTATACAGTCAAACAGAGGGCAGGATTCAGCCTGTGGGCCATAGTTTGCCCATCC